AGACTATGGCCCCTAGCTGCCCTTCAGGTCTGGAATTGAACCCACACCTGTGGTTTCCAGCTAAACAAAAGACAGGAATATGAGTTGAACATTTACCTCAGGTAGATACACTCCTTGGAGAGAACAATCATGGGAGAAAGAAGGGCTGCTTATGCACAGGGAGACAGCTCAAGGTGCAGGAGTGCATGGAGGAATGGATACTGAGAAGAGGTAACTATGGGGAGGAAATGGGAGGGGAGCTGTTGCATTGGGGTAAATTGTAGTCAATGTGGTGAGACAAAGTGTATGTAAACTGCTGTATGGAAAGTGAATTTGCTTTGTAAATCACAATTAAAAAAATCGAAACAAATATAAGTGTTCCAGGTAAGATAAATATTATTACTATTTTATGAGAGATCGCTAAATCGATGCAAATCACTAAATCAATGATGAAAGTAATAGAATAGAAAATGATACATCAGGGAAATACCAACAAAGTGAAAGCTGTGCAGCTATATTAATATCAGGGGAAAAATCTTTTAAAAATAAGGATTATAAAAAATAAGGATTATTACAGATAAGAAAGGAGCTCTGGTAGCATAGTGCCTAAGGCACCTGACTGCTAACCAGAGGGCTGGTGGTTCAAACCCACCAGCTACTCCTCGGAAGGAAGATGGGGCAATCTACTTCCATAGTGATACTGCCTCGCAAACCCAAGGAGGGGTCGCTATCAATGGCACATAACAACAACAACATAGATAAGAAAGGTGATTACATAATAAGTTTATACTTACCACTAGAATCTCCATGTTCTCCAATAATCCAACCATGACAGCTCGTGGGATGGACACCCAATTTCTCCCCAATGAGGTAACGGAAACGGGCAGAGTCTAGATTACAACCACTTCCAATTACACGAGAGACAGGTAGACCACTTATCTTCCAGACCACATATGTCAAAATATCCACTAGGAAGAAAAAGTCCTAGTCAGAAAAAAAATTACAGTAACTTTTTTTTTTTTTTTTTTTTTACAATTTTCTTTACTGAATATATAGTTCAGTTGCCTTGGATTCAAATACAACTTAATTACAAAGTAAAGTAAATCAACAAAGAAATACGGATAATCACTCTCACATGGTTTTAAAAATGTTAAGTTACTTGCTATCAGAATTTAAAAAAACAAAACAAAAATCCTCTTTTGAGATGTGTATATGCCCATCTGTATATCTAACCATCAGAAGAAGGGAGTGCATCAGGGTTGTATTCTTTCTCCACACTTATTCAATCTATATGCTGAGCAAATAATCCGAGAAGCTGGACTATATGAAGAAAAACGTGGTATCAGGATTG